CGGAAGGTGCAAAGTGAATATATGAATTTTAATTGCATGTTTAAATTAATTATGGTTTGTTTCATGTTTTCTCAGAAATTTAAGGCTACAAATAAATACAATGTTTTGAAATTGCATAATCGCGATATATAATAATTAGTAGTACTCATACTTTGATATTTTTAGGATTTGACCTCACAACTAATCTGCAAAATGAAGAAGCAACATATTTTGTTACCGCTTAGAAGAAACAATAGAAATAGTACTGTGGATTGATAAATAAAGAGTGAAAATAAGGTTGACTAGAAGTTGATAAAAGTCCAAGGAATTAAAAAAAACAATAGAAAAAAAACGTAGGACTAGTGTGAACACTGAAATTAGAGTTTGATTTAAGCTTTAATTAGGTTTGGTGTTTGTGCTTGAACATTTTTAATGTCAATTTGATAGCAGATTTATATATAAGTGTAGATTTTATTAGTGATTTGCTACTAGTTGGAATTATCTCTGTTTATGTCCAACAAACAATTTCAGTTTTAGTTAGAGTCTTGAAGGTTGATGTTTATAATATATTTATACTTTTAGAAAGTGAGAATTGAAAAACAGCAAGTACTCAATAAAATGAAGAGGGATTAATAAAAATTATAAAATAGAAACTTAGTCTGGTATGAAATTATAACCCTTAATCAACTTTTAATTCCATATTGATGCTCCAACGTCTTAGATATAAATTTAAGTTTGATGCTGATTTTAAGTTAATATTTATGTCAATTAACTTTTCGTTATATCAGTGATTTGCTACTAGTTAATATGTAAATGCAAAATCTGTTTAAGTAAGAAATGAATAAACATTGTATGTTATGTATTTGTCAGTTTTATTTTTGGTAATTTACCTGTCTTCTTTAATAGGAAAAGCCATTAAAGTGGTTAACAATAATGTTTTAGTTATGGTTATTTTTTATTAAAATAAGGCACCAAATATCTTCCTTAACATAATGCAGTCTACATAGAAAAAAAAGCATATGACGTAACAACTTATTAAACAATACAGACATTACTACTGAACACACACAGGTGCACCAAATTCAATGCATTACTACCTAATGTAGATGTATTCATATTTATATATGTAGATAATTAACTAATAAATGTAAGTGTTAATTTGCAGCAATGTCAATAACTTGTTTGTGTGCTGTTATATACAAAAAAATTGTTCAATTTATAAAACCTAACGTTAGATGTTGTGATGATTTCATAAAATTACTATGATACCTACAGTTACTATGAATACATCCTGGGTGATTAAAAAATTGTGATTGTTTCCTTAACACAACAATTGTAAATAATAATAGTTATTTTAAAGATATAATTCTTCTCAAAATCTACAAATGCAGTTTGTTTATAATAATATCTCATTAACATTCAAACTGCTGAAATTATTAAGATTAAATGTGGAAGAACATAGTTTCAGTTCCTGTTTCCTGTTCTTGAGGTAATGTTACTTAACCAACCATTATTTCATACTCCACTTGTCTTATTTTTTACATTATTCATAAAATGCTTCATTCCCCACATTATCAAATTCATTTTCAGGTACATAATATAACACTTAAATTAATTAAAAGATAAGACTTTAATAAAACTTGTCCATTTGGGTTTTTTTAAATACTTTCAGTTGTCTTATTAGCTTCTCTTTTTCTGAAAAGAAAATATTTTAGTTAGTACTTTGATCAAATAGAAAACTTACAAACTAAACTGTAAGATCTGTCCAAGGTTTGTTCAATAGGTGACTTTAATATTAAAACTCTTTACTTAATTCTAAACTTAAAAATATACTTAATTTGTCACTTTGCTGCTTATTGTCAATTAAAGTTTTTAATAACCAAACAATGTCAGTAACTCCCAAGGGACTTGAATTCAAACTTCTCATTCATTAACAATATTATAATAACTTCTCTAATCTCTAGTATATTAACTTAGTAAATAATCAAAGAAAATATCTGCTTACCATTACTTAGAATTGCTCACTAGATTTTATATTTCCAAAGTTCATGAAGTATAAATCCACTTTATTTGATTAATTAATATCAATATTATATCATTAGCTTCTATTATAATTACAGTAAATTATATTTAGAACTTCTAATTATGTTCATTAGTGACTGCTTTCTCATCTGAAATATACAAATAAAATGTACAATCATTTTACTTTGTGATTAAGTACATAATATAAGCAATATTAAATGGTATATGTATTTTTCAAATTAAAGAAAAATTTCATGAACTTACATGCAATATAAATATCAATAAAAGATATCCAATATAACTAGGATTTACCTCTACTAATTTGCAGATTTTCTTGATGTGTCTGTGTCTATTATGTTATCCTCGCATTGATTCATAGAAAAACTAAAACTCTTAACTTAAAAATATTAACTCTAGTTTTATTTTTATTTTGTTTATAATGGCTCTGGCACGATTTGTGCATTAGCCAGCGTCAAGTATAGGATTTTTATAATTCGTTCTTTTTGCCTTAAAAATTCGACCGTGTCCTCCATGTACGGTTTAGGCACTCGCCCGCTACCGCACAACCCTCCCAAAGGCCGAGAACAAATTTAAATAAAATTAAAACTTGCCCTCGAACCCGGTACCCCTCACCTAGCTGCCACTTAATAAGACCGCTAGGATATGAGGCCCCTTAACTCTAGTTTAAATTATTATAATTACACGAGAACGTTAAAAAAAGACAGATAACAAATTAAAACCATTTCGTTAAAACGTCCAAAATATGACATGTTTTTAAAACGGTAGCCATTAAAGATGGCGATAGTTGTACGGAATTATTGCAAACAGCAGCTTTTGAGATCACGCTAAAACATGGCGGAGAAACGCCGTTTTTTCTACACTGCCGAAACATTAATTGGCCGTTGGCTACCGAATAGCGTAAGCGTTAATGTGTGTCTTTTCGTAGCACTGTCATGGCGTCGCTTATTGTATCCCGACTTTAGGGCCTAGGCTAACGACTGTCGACACGAGCTGTCATTTTCATACAACTTTAGTTTTCGACTTTCTACATACACTACTGTTAAGTCATCTTGGCTAGACCCCCTGGCATTTACAACCCGGTATATATGAAGAAAGAATTGCGTGTTGAGCTTCCGCAAGGCGATTTCATAGACAATGTGTCACCCTAATCGTATTAACTATTAAGTATAGGATATGAAACCTAGTTTATATGAATTTTGAGGAAGTAACTTCATTAAGTTACTTAGTTACAGTTATGAAAGATGAATCTAATTCTACTATAAAACAATACCCACTCTTATTTTATAGAAAATCAGCCCATCTCTTTTATAGGTCAGATGACAAATGGGCGAGAGACTCGGATATGAAACCTAGTTTATATGAATTTTGAGGAAGTAACTTCATTAAGTTACTTAGTTACAGTTATGAAAGATGAATCTAATTCTACTATAAAACAATACCCACTCTTATTTTATAGAAAATCAGCCTATCTCTTTTTTTATAGGTCAGATGACAAATGGGCGGGAGACTCCTACTAATACTACGCCATGGACACTATAAATTAATATATATATATATATATATATATATATATATAAGTACACCTATAGAAACGGCCTTATCACAGATGATAGGTACGCCAATTTCTATGAAACCTAATAGAAATTGGTTTTGAAATACTTTAATGGGTAGCAGATTTCACATAACGGTGGTGCTACGTACCTAGTAGTGAACGTCGAATACTGGACGTCAGGGTGATACGGGTAAAATTTCGTAGGTATTCTGTTTCGACATCCGAAGATGAAACAAAGCAGGTATTAATCCAAATCACCCCTCCCAACACAAAAGATCCAGAAACCCGACATTAAGTGCCAAGGATGAAGTGAAAGTAATTAGTAGTTGACGATACGAACCGATGGATGGCATCAAGAGTGGTCCAGGTTAGGTTGTTAGCGGAGGTCCGGAGTGGAGTAACATCTCGTCTTGGTGAGGCTTTAAAAGTCTGTTCTTGATTAAAGAAGTAGCGACAAAAGGCGTTTTATTAGCGGAAAACCAGCAAATTTTTGTCTTATTGAACTAGATTTATTAATTACCCTTCCCGACAACAAGGGCACGTAGGAGACCCCAACATTTTAACGGATACGGATTATCCCATCACATTAGCTAATGACAAAGCGTGAAAGCCAATTCAGACTCGTGTTAAAAACCACCTTCACCGGATAATTCAAGGTCCGTTCTTCGCTCACTTCAGTGAGATTTCGTTCTGCCCTACAGGCCCTATTGACCACCTCATGACGGCTTATGTCGGGGTCGGAATCTCAGAGGATACGCTAGTCTTGTGCTAACTTCGAGAAAAACGGAAATGAGCTATATCCTGCAAAACTGCGTTCGCCGAAAACAGTGAGATTCCATTTAAAAAAAAAGCAATCGATGCATGCACTTTGCGACTTGCGCGCGGCGCGGATTGATCCGGTATTGTAAGTAAGTCGCTATTTAAACATTATTTTGAAATTACTTATTTTAAGTGTTAATTAGTTCGGCAGAGCTACGCTCACCGACAACAGTGTATTCCATTATAAAGAAAACCACCCGTTGCATCTTTCACTATGCTAGGTACTTGCGCAGTTTGATGAATGTTAGTATTTTTTATTGATCCGGTATTGTAAGTAAGTCGCAATTTAAATTTTTTTTAGAAATTACTTATTTAAACTGTTAATTAATCCGGTAGAGCTACGCTCACCGAAAACAGTTAAATTCCTTTATAAAAATAACAACCCTGGCTTTGCCCTGTTTTTATTGATCCGGTATTGTAAGTCTTATTAAAGTGTTATTTACTTGTTGATAGATATTTAATTTAATTGGTTTCAGATTCAAATAAAAATCATGTCTGACTGGGCTTCTGAATAATAATTATATACCAGAAATTGTTGCTCCAGTTGGACAAAGAGCGCCGCCTCAACGAAGTTGCCAAAGCAAATTATTCTGCCCAAGGCCAGAGAATGGGTTCTCAATCTAACCAATCCATTGGAGCATGTACCAGCGATGAACATCGTGTTACTGAGAAAGTTATATCAATTCCTTCAGCTAAAGTTGGGCGAGTGGTAGGTAGACGTGGATTTAAACTACGTGATTTAGAAAATGGTGGTAATGTTAAAATAAAAATTGGCGATTCCGCTGGAGATAACACAGACATCACGCTATTTGGAACTGATTTTGCCATAGCAAAAGTGGCAAAAATGATTAAGGATCTTACTATTGAGCGAAAACAGTCATCTAAAAAACCAGCAGGTAACTCTTCTTCAGACACTGCTGCTCAGGCTGGTTTGTCAAGTCCAAATACAGTTGTGAATAGTGAAAGAAAGGAAGCTATTGCAACAGCATTAACCCATTGTGACCAGGTACAAAATGTTAATTTGGTTAAATTACCACATATTGTTAAAAACTTTTATAAAGAGGATCCAGTAGTGGCTTTAATGTCTGAATATATGGTTACTTATTGGCGCGAGTATGTCTATGACATAACTGTGAAACGAAAAGGTAAAAAATTGAGAGTCCAAGAGATACCAAATCTATTGTTAACATTTGAGCAAGCATTTAAATATTATCCAGAAATACTCGCTAAAATACATGAGCAAGGGTTAGCAAACCCTTTTCCAATACAGAGCCAAGCTTGGCCTATTTTACTAAAAGGAGAAGACATGATTTGTATTGCACAAAAAGGAGCAGGAAAAACTTTAGCCTTCCTGTTGCCTTGTTTAATTCATGTTGGAGGGCAGCCTACACCTAGAGAACAGAGACTTGGGCCAACTGCACTTATTGTAGCGCCTACAAAGCAATTAGCTATACAAATTCAAAAAGAGCTTAATAAATATCACTACAAAGGCGTTACAAGTGTATGTTGTATACATGGGAGAGCAGATCGGCAGGAACAAATTGATATTGTTTTAAAGGGAGTGGATATTGTTATTACAACTCCTGGAAGATTGTTTGATTTGATCATAGCAAAACATGTAAATGTTCGCTACTTCTCTTATATTGTACTGGATGAGGTTGACCAAATGCTAGAAATGGGTTTTGGGCCTCAGATTAACTTATCTTTGATAGACCTGAGACCTGAACATCAATTTGTTATGACATCTGTCACCTTGCCTTCTGCTGTACGGCACCTAGCTGATGCTTACATGCACAATCCAGTTTATGTAAATGTTGGTTCCAGCCACACCAATACAGCAGTGCATACCATCACTCAAAAAGTAAGAGTTGTTGAGCAAAACGACAAATTTAGTTTACTCCGTCACTTTATATGTAATATGGATTCTAATAACAAAGTTTTAATTTTCTGTGCCACCAAAACTATAGCCTCCAATGTTACAGCAGACTTAGCTTACAATGGATTTGACTGCAAGCCATTGCTTGGGGATCAAGATGAAAGTGAGTTTGAAGCAGCTTCACAAGATACAACGGATGATACAGTCAGTATATTAGTAGCCGCAGATATTGCTGCACAGGACATTGACATGAAAGATTTAACCCATGTGATAAACTTTGATTTTCCTCAGAAAATTGAGGAGTATGTTCATAGAATTGGGCTGATGAGAAAAGCTGGGAGAAAAGGCAGTGTTATATCTTTAATGACAAAAAATGATTCAGTAAATGCCAGCGATTTGATCAATATTTTGATAGAAGTAAAGCAAGAGGTTCCTGGTGAACTCCAAAACATGGCTGATTGGTATAACATGTCCAAAAAGGAGAATAAACGAGGTCGTCATGGCCAAAGAGGAAGAAAACAGTAATTGTAGAATACATAAAAGTATAATTTTATTCACTGGCTGTGTAGAAAACGGTTTTGTTTTATTATTTTTTGTCACTTTTTACAGTGTTAGAGTTTATCAAGTTATAGCACATTTTGAAATTTTATGTGCCATTTTATCTGTAATTATTTACATGTTTGTTATATAAAGGAGGATGGCTGCTCAGGCTGGAGGAGTTTGAAATTATATCTAAATAGAAAGGGTCATGCTATGGCCAATATGATCTCATACATTTCCTTGTTAAAACTTATAGTTAAGAATTATAGGTTTAAGGTGTAAATTGTAATTTACAAGTTTGTATTTCCCTTATACTGGAAAATAAGAGTGTCTATTATTTTTCTCTTATCTATATTTGTGTAAAGATTTGTTAGAGTGCAGACTTGAAATTATGTCTCTAATTTAAGTGGATATATAATAAAGTTATTTTAAAAAGCTGGTATTTTTATGTTTACAAATCTCTTTTGAAAAGTACGGACCATCCATTTATGATCTCTTAAATATATTACAATATTTAATAAGAAAGTTGATAGAAATTTTGATATTTATTTATAGTTTGGTAAATTAATAAGATTGATGAATTTAGAAGATGATAGCTGAAGATATCACGAAACTACGTGAAATTCTGAAATCAACAAAGAGTTCAATTTGATATAAACAATGTAATAATTTGAAGAAAAATTCCCCAAAACTCTTCTGCAAATGTTACTATGATAATCTTGAATTTAAATTGACAATTTTATTTGTGAAGAAATTAATATAATGTAATGCTCCTTGAATTTAAGAAAGAATTAGGTACATAAGTTATAATAAAACTCAAATATGTAGCTAAATATTTTTTGCAGTTAAAATCATGACTTAATTTGGTTGATACACGATTGATAAGAATAATTTCTAGGTTTGATTGTAATAATAATCACAAAGGTTGTCATTTTAACTTTAAGTGAAGTCAAACTTAAGTTTAAATAATTTAATCTTATTTGGGCCAGTCTTCTAAGTCAACATTAATTATATGCCATGTATGGCCATTGCCTGTTGACGCGTGCCTTGATGGCAATAACACATGTAAAAACGTCCTTGTATTAAAACAAGGAATACCATCCAGTTTTTAATTCTACCAATTGCATGGATTCCTAAATGAAGAAGACTTTATCTTCACTGCTGCATTTATACTTGACTCCACACTAGTTTCACCACTTGTGTTCTAGCCATGCATAATAACCAGAATTCCGAGTACAAAAAATACAGAAAGACAGGTGATAGCCATAAATATTATAGCTTTTCTCTTCCAGAGATCAGCTTATATGAGGTCTGTGTTATCTCTGGTGTGGGTAGAATGCGTTCATGAGGAAAGTTGATGGAATCATATTAGGTATATCTTTCACGGGAACGAGAACTCCACTTTTATTTCATTTTAATGGATGTCCAATTAAATCAGGCTTATCTTTTTGATTGGTTGGTGTAGCATTTGAAATGAATTTTGAAATTTGAAGACTGATGGAAAATATGCATCTGTCTAATTGTTAATAGGCCTTCACCTACATTTCCTTAGATATTTTCATACTAACTGTAAAGGCTAAATACATTTATTAAGATTTCTTTATATACTTTCTATAATAATATAAACATTTAGAGAAAGTCACGGAAATCTATATAAGTATGTTAGAATATATATGAGCTATTGATGTTATAATATTAAGTATTTTGTCAAATATAGTAAGTGTAGCGGCATGTTCACACAAATGCATACTGTTCTGACAAGCCTAGAAAATCACCCATTTTTGATAATATTTGGTTAAGCTATGCTAAGCTTATACAAAGTCACCACAAATGAAGAATAATAATGACATAACAGCAACTCAGATTTTTAATCTTTTTGATGCTTTTTCCTAGTACTATTAAAATTATTTTTTTTACTATATTCACCTCCATCATACACCCAAAGCAGTTGATAGCCAATGTCTATCCCAAATATAATTAGACAAGAAATTCAATATCTGGCATTATTATATCCAACACAGTTATTAAACCATGGCCAGTGATGATCCATAGGAAGTATACATCTATCGCAAACTGAGCAGTAGTGTGTCAGTGGTGGTTTTGGTGATATACACTTCTTACATATACTTGCAGCCTCAATCAGTATAGTACCCTAAAAATAAATCATAAATGCTCTTTAATATAATATTTATATTGAAAGGTTATATAATGTGTTTATTTTAAAGGGTTAAAAAAAGGGCTCTTATTGCTTCCTAAGTTCACAATGGACAATCAAAAGCAATTTAAGCATCCTACTGCTATAAATATAGGAGGAGTTATACCATAATATTATTCTTATTATTAAATACACAGGCACAGTAACATGACTACTGCAAGTGGGTTACAACTTACAGTTGCAGCTGGTGTTAAACTTCAAATAATTGTTTGAACAAACTAAAGGTTTATTTATTTATTCAGGTTCACTCAAATTGGATTATAAGGTTTATTATAATCCAATTTGAGTGAACTATTTTTAAAATTTTGTTCCTACTTTTTAAAACAACTCACACGAGGAGGATAGCCTGGAGGTGTAATCACTCCCACATAATAGTGCAACTCTATATTCTATAACAGCCTATTTCCAAAAAATACTAGAAATACTAGTATGTAATACTAACAACTGAAATGTCACACGAAATTTACAAGACATTAATTAAAAAAAATAATAATAATCCCATTAATTTTTTTTGTTACAAGGATTGTCATACCAAGTAAAGTAACATTCAAACAACATGGCCCACCTTATAACCTAAAATAAATTATAAATTTCATTCATACCATTCTTAAATATTCAGTAACCAGAATATTGATTCAAGTACATGAGCATTGTATTCCCTAAAAAAAAAACAAAAGTTATTATAACCATATGCGACAAGATACACATAATTGTTCCAAGTGCCTCGTATGAACTCGAATTACCTGCATAACGGGTTTTATCTATAACAACTATGACACTAATTATAAGGATATTGATATTTTCCACCTCACCAAAGAGGATGTGAGGAAACATTTGAATAGGCGGGAAGACTTTGATTTTGTTTAAGCAGTACTCTAAATTGTTGTTTGCTTAATGTTAAATTTAAATGTTTATATATTGTACTTATGTTTTCTGTTTCATATATATCTTGTTTATCTATGTAATCTTTTTCGGCTTTCTATATTGTCTAAGTGTTTTGGTTTTAGAAAAATGGAATGTACTAAAAATATAAAGACATTTGGGAAAAATAACATTCTATTAGATTTTGTATTATCTATTATATTACCTGCTGAAAATTATTTTGCTTTTAAGCAAATTTCCTTAACAAGATTTTCATACATTAAAATTAAATTAAATGCTGCATCTTGCAAATGACAACACAATCTTGAATAGCGCTTTGATATTAGTTGATTGTAGCCTTTCCAATTGGTATCGAGGCTTATGCCATAATTGTTAGATTGTAGGCTTTTAATCAGTAACAATTTTTTTTTTAAATTCTGGGCCTATAACCTGTTGGACATTTCAATGTGTAGGGGACTGAGCTCTGGAGGCGAGGGGCTATTTTAAAACACTAACTTCATGTTTAATATATATTTTCCAAGCACTTACAATACTAAACATTTATTACAATAATTTTATCTTTATATATCACTAGGATATTTCACTGTCCGCGTGTAATAGAGAAGTACACTTTTTATAACAGAAAACAATCTTTTAATATAAAATTTAGACAGGCATTCCATTATTCTAAACTAAAACTTTTTCTTCATATGTGACAAGTGTTGCCTGCCATTATTTACATATTCAAACTCCAACACCTTCCACTTAAACGTTTTTTTAAATTGGATTAGTACTATGTCTATATAATTTAAAAATTCATAAAAGAATTGGGTTTTTAAATAAAAATTTAAAATGATTTTCAATTTGTAAGTTCAAAATGCGAATGTCAATTGTCTGATGTCTTATTTAAAAATCGTGTTCTGTTTTGTGCAATTAACATAGAATCTTTTTGCATTTACTCATTCTCAGATCACTATTACTTCTGATGAATGGTACTCATTTATGAAAAATATTTAAACTTAATCTCGAATTAATTATTTTCTGAAATGATTAATTTTAATGTTCTATTCAGCGAATTGTAACTTTATTACATATAAAAATATAGATAATAGAACTATAAAATATAGAACTTTGAATAACTTGAAACTCAACGAAAACATATTTTTAATAGTATAGTTTTTTCAATCAATATTTTTAATCAGGGTAGTATGTATTAGTAGTGTATGTATGTAGTATTATATATGTATCACTATAACTTTCTTTTTTACTAAAGATGTATATATACTTTAGTGTCACATAAAAAATATACACATAAATAATAATTAATTGATTAAAAACAACCTAACGTTTGCATATTCTATGGGCTTCATACTTTCGATTGGTATAGAATTTATCTAATAATCATACCGGTGAAATGTTAAAAAAATATTTTTTTTTAAATATTAATTAAAATACTCTGGACTGAAATTTGCTAGGCAACCCATATGAATTATATTTATTGACATATTAAATTAAATATAAAATACGTTTCATTAAATAAGCATCTCGGTGAAGGTCGTTGTATATCGGGATCTTAGACCATTATAATCCAGGGAAATTAAATATTTAAATTAGCTGGTTTTTCAGAGTTAAACTCATTGCTCATAAGTCATAAGTAACTTAAAACCTTTATACCTATAAGTATCAAATCGAAACAATATATTATTCGATATCGGATTTTGAAATATTGGTGGAAATGCGAGAAACACGGCATTTTCTAATGACACTGAGAAGCCATGAAGAAGACACCTAAATTAAAAAAAACCCTCCTCCTCTATTACTCTTTTCGACATCAGCTCGCACTATGTCATAGATCTTCATAACATACTTCTTTGAAAAGCGGTATTTTGTTTTGAAATCGCCATCCGAA